CGCCTAGCAAGGTGATGAAGATGGTGTCTCCCATAGCCAGGTAAGTACCTCGTCACTCTCCTCCCTCAGTCCTTCTCCCTCCTCCTCCTACCGGGGGAGCTCCACCATAGCCGAGGTGGAAGCTCCCGGCTTCTCCTTCCTTGCAGCGCTAAAAGCAGCTAGCGCTGCTCCTCCCAACGCTCCAGCAGCGTGACGCCCAACTCGCACACTGAACAATGAGGCTGGGCTCTTCGCCCGGCCTGAAGATATAGCGGCCTGCTTGCCTCTTGGGCGGTGACTTCCAGGTCGCTCGGCCTTCCCAGCAACCGGTACCTCCTCCCATTCGGAGGGAAACATCATTGCAGACTTCTGATATTACCCCTACAGGCTCTAGACTCAGACTGGACGGACTGGTACCGGCCTAGACTTAACCTACCGCTACTGGGCCTCTAAAAATGCCAACTTTGTCTTTTCTGCTCGGCCTCTGGTACCCCTCACATCTAGCGCTACGGGGTGCGGTACCGGCCTACCTGCTACTTGAGTGTTTTTTTTCTGCTGCTTCAAGTACCGCGGGCCCCTGGCTCCGCCACTCGAGTGTTTTCCCCTGCTGCAACCCTTCAATGCCACGGCCACAGGTAAGTACCGGCCCTCTGGGCCTACCAACACGTAAGTACCCTTGCGGGTCTCACACACTCGTACCGACAAGCACTCAGTCAGGCATGCAGGTTACAAGCACGCACACACACACATACCAGTAAACACTCATACAGGCACACAGATTACAAGTGCACACACACACAGACTTAGAAATCCCAGCAGAATGCGGGAATCTCAGCAAGGCATCCATTCCATATGCAGAACTTAGGAAATCAGCAGTATTCTCAGTCTGTATTCTGACGGGTTATTACACCACTGCCTAATCAACTGCCAAGAAGCCAGGGACTGTTGGGCTAGAGCAAGTGACCTTTTTTTTTTTTTTTGATAGAAAGGCAGGCCGGCACCTACTACCGTCTTCCCCCGAACACAACGCACCCTCATTTTGGCTGTATCTGGCCGGAAATATAACTCGTTTACATTCATTTCTACGGTGCGTTATGTTCGGGGGAAGACGGTAGGCACAGTGATAAAAGCACCCAACCCTAGCAGGCTTGTGACCCTCCGCTCCATCATGAGCCAGAATGTTCATGAACATTGGTGGCACAACAGGTTTGCCTCTTCAGTCCCTAGTGGGACCGCCTGGTCCAACTCGGAAACCTAGCTTCCTGTTCCTTTCCCCGATGCAATGTGGTTCCCTGTATTCAAATCCCCCTTTCCTGAGCAACCCCTCCAACTTCTCATGTGAACTAACATCGCATGTCATCTAAGTAAGCCGAAGAGGTTGTGGGTTTGGCTTAATCAGGAGAATGGCACGGTGAGGGAGAGAGTGACCCCGACAAAGCACGGAAATCCTGGCAGACAGCAAGCTGGCAAACATAAAAGGCAAAACGGCAAACTGGCAAACACAAAAGGCAACACCTTGACATCTACCCTGTCGACGGGGAGTCCTCTGGTTAGACCATCCCGAAGTGCAACACGCAGCCACCACCAGGAAGCCTCACAATTCTCCTTGAGGCTTGAACGGATCCTAATGAGCGAGGAAGACCATGAGAGTATTGGAAAAAGTGGCCTGACTAATGGCAATTGTCAGTCCGTCCTCAGTAACAGCTCCTGGAGGGAGTGACGAGATAAGGACGTGGAAGATACCAGGGGAAGAACTCTCTTTTTGGCCAACTGCAACGACTCCAGAAGACCAGAAGAAAATCAGACAGCTTGGCATGGCGGAGAGGAGCAACAAAGAGGCAGACTGTCCAGGAGTCTCAGGAGTAAAGGTTGAATAGGAGGGAACAGGGACCGAGCGGGGGTAAATCCTTGCTTTCTAGGAAGCAACCAATGCCGCTGGCTCAGGATTCCTTGGCCATAAAAGAGGAAAGTCTTGTGTGAGTGAATTGTGTAAGGGGTGCTGAACCCGGTTTTCAGCAAATAACAGAAATTAATCTGTAAAAGAAGACAAAAGAAAAGCAACAGAAAAGGAAGGAGCGTTGAAGATTTACTCTGGACAAAACAAGGAACACAAGGGAACAAGCGTGGGCAGCAACAAAAGGCATGCGATCGAATCATGAATCAACTGCAAGTGAAGGCAAGTGAAAACATATACAGAGGAGAACACAGTCGCAGAGTGATGCAGCCATGCAAGATTCAACCTTAACGGGTCAGCTGATGGCCAAGTGGCGACATTAAATGGACTTCAGCTCAAGTGGTTAGACTGGAACAATTCAGGAAATACGGCTATCAGCTAGGCTACTAGAGTGGCCCGGGACCATTTGCCCGGTCGGGCCAAAAACAAAAAAAGACAAACTTGAAAAAAGTAAAAATTTAAAAATATTTTTTAATTTTATTTTTTATTTTACATTCGGTAAAGAACTTCGATGTGACCCTGAGGCAAAAGTTGTTCAGTTCATTTTTCTGCATAACATAGGTTTTTTCGTTTTTTTCTTTTCTTTTCTTTTGCTGGGACCTTCCCTGGTCCTTGCACGGCCGCGCCGCCCGGGAAAACAGGGGACCCGTGCGGCCCGGCTGGTAGCCTAGGCTATCAGGCAGAACTACCATGAGCAGGCGGAACAGGAGCCCATGTGCATGTGAGGAGCTTCAGGAGTTCTCGGACTAACCGCGGTTTCAACAGTCTATGGGGCCTCACCTGAGAGGAATTTAAGAGGGTCAAGGCAAGTCTGTAAATCAATTCTCCTCAAAAGGAGTAAACAAGGCTGCTCAGGGGATCCTTCGCCAAGAACGCAAGGAAGCATGGGTTCTTCTGTTCTCATTGCATTATGCTAACTTGCTGGGGGAAGGGGAGCAGGACTGACACTTCCCAGAATGGAAAGGAGCCAGGAACATTGGGACCTGTTTTATTTTTACAAAAAAGCAAAATGTAATGACCCGCCCAAAACACAGACTGAGAACACTGCTGATTTCTGGGATTTGCCAATGGAATGAATGCCTTGCTGTGATTCCCGCATTCTGCTGT